GGAGAAGGGAAGGAAGGGCTCCTGAGGGAGTTGATGCCTTGCCTCAGGGAGCTGTGTGCTTAGATCAGAAGACATTTCTGGGGTGCTGCGGGAGGAGGGTTGATGCCATGTTGATGCCATATTGAGGCTTTTTACCCGAGTAAAAACCCGAGAGGCAATGGAGGGAGTTTGAGAAGTGTGTAGGTTGCAGGTGGCTGTGGGCAGGCTCTCACTGTTCTGGCCCTCCCTCCCTCCCTCCTCGTTCTGAGGGGGGAGGATTTAATCAGACTGAGAGCCCTCTGCTTGACAGTTATACTGTTTTTGTGGATGTTTGTGAGTAAAGGGGGCCTGAGGAGCAAGGAAGTTGCTGAACTGAGGATGTTTTTGTCCTCCACCTTGCATCCTCCTTGCTTAGTTGGAAGAAATTATGTTGAAGAATAAGTTTCAGGCCTTAGAAAATCACTAGCTCTTGGTTTTTCATAAGTATTACAAACATTGAAAAATGATTTATAGTCTACAGTGTTTATTTAATGCATTCTAACTTAGCCCTTACAGTCAATTAGATAATAGCATTTTTTCCAATTTATTTATTTATTTATTTATTTTTTTTATAAATCAATCTTTATTATTCACATTGCTACAAAGGTTCCTCATTTCTTCCCCCCTCCACCAGGTTCCCACCCCACCCTCCGCCCCCTCCCCATCCCCCACTGTCCCCATCCATAGGTGCAGTCTATGTTCAGTCTCTTCCTCCCTCCCTCTCCCCGACAGCAAATCCCTCCTCAGATAGTAAATCAGTTACCCAGCATTTTCCCACATCAACAACACCACATGCCCAATGATACACTTCACACAAAAGACACCTCCAAATAGGTCAACCAGCCTCATCCAGGCCCCACCCAAGGCACTCAAAGATCAACACCCCAGCCCTACACCAACTCAACACATCCAGATCCAAGCCTTCACCCCTTGACTCAGCAGACCCTCAAGTCCCCACAAAAGTTTTAAGCCATGTCTGAGAGGCAGCCGTGGGGCAGGGGCAGGCGAGGAGTGAGCTGTTCCGGGCCTGGCTGCTCCGGGCCTGGCCTCTGCTGCTCTGGTTCGTTCCACAACCAGCTGCTTCGGGTCTCGTCACCGCCGCTCTCGACCTAGTTGCTCTGGACCTGGCTGCTGCTGCTCTGGGCCTGGCCGCACCAGACCCGGCTGCTCCGGGCCTGGCCGCTCCCAGCCTGGCAGCTGCTGCTCCGGGCCTGGCTGCTCCCAGCCTGGCAGCTGCTGCTCCGGGCTTGGCCGCACCAGACCCGGCTGCTCTGGGCCTGGCTGCCCCGGGCCCAGCCGCTCCGAGTCTGGCCGCTCCCAGCCTGGATGCTCCAGGCTTGGCTACTGCTGTTCTGGACCTGGCTGCTCCCAACCCGGCTGCTCTGGGCCTGGCCACTCCGGGTCTGGGTGTTCCTGGACTGGCCACCCTGGGCTTGGCTGCCTCCGCCTCAGGCCTAGCTGTCACTGCCCCAGGTCTGGCTGCTCCAGTGCTGGCTGTTGATGCTCTGGTTCTGGCTGCTGCTGCTCTGGGGCCTGGCCATTGCTGCTCCGGGCCTGGTTGCCATTGCTTTGTGCCTGGGCACTCTAGCCCTAGCTGCCGCTGTTCCAACATTCTGTCCTTTTTTTTTTTTTTTTTTTTTTTAAACGCATTTATGTTGCAATGTTGGCTGGTGAGTTGAGTTCTGACTTAGTCTTTGATTTTTCAAGATCTTCTTTGTATTCTTTCTTAAGTAATTTTACTATCTTTTGCTCTCACTTGATTTCTTCACATTGAGAACTTTGGTTTCTTCCTCCTTGTCCTGGGAGCTCAGCAGGTTGGCCTGTGGCACCCCTTTGTTCTCCGCGGACTCTAGCGCTGCTCCAGCCTGTTGCTGGGGTCGGCGCCGCCCAGGAAGCAGCCCCCGGCCTTGGCTCCATTGCCCGCGCTCAGAGGTCGATGGCTCAGGGGCAACCCCCCCCTGAGGGCCCCATCGCCCGGCTCCTTGCCGGCGCCCGGCTGGCTGGTGTCCGGCAGGGGCTCCTGCTCCCTGTCGCATTCCTCCAGTCTGGAGCTTTTTTTTTTTTTCTCCTTCCCGCTAGGGGAGTCTAGGATCAAAGTCAACAGACTGTCCTCTGCGCGCAGTGCGCGCGACTCTGGGGGCTCCGCTTTTCACCACTCCCCTGGGATTCCGCCTCACAGCCCCGTCTCCCCCTGCCCGAGCCTGGGTCCCCAGGGTCTGGTCCAGGACTGGGGTTCAGAGCAGTCCGGACTGAGGCTCAGCGCCGCCGGAGGCTTTGTTTCTTCACGCTAGGGTAATCCAGCATCAGAGTCAACATTCAGTCCTCTGCGCACAATGTGCGCGAGACTCTGGGGGCCCTGCTTTTCGCTGCTCGCTTGGGATTCCGCCTCACAGCCTCGTCTCCCCCGCCGGAGCCTGGGTCCCCAGGGTCTGGCTCATAACTGGGGCTCAGCCCTGCCGGTTCAGGGGTTTAGCACAGGCTGGGGGTTTTATTTCCTTCCTGCTAGGGAACGCCAGGCAGCACCCAGCCCTCTCCTCCTCTCCGGCTGCGACCTCTTCGCGCGCAGCATGTCTCCGTACTTTAGGCTTTTTTTCAGCTCCTCTGATTTTCCTTCTGGTTTTCTCTTTCCTTCTTCTTGTAGAATTTTCAGTCAGTCGACTACCTGTAGCTCTGGGCGATGTCCACTCTACATTTTAGTTGTATTCCATTGAAATTGTTGTGTGCTGCTGCGGTTAGGTGTCTACCCGAGCAGCCATCTTGGATCCTCCTGAGCCGCATTTTTTCCATTTTAAAGCTGAGGAACTGAAACTCAGAAGGGCTCACTGAGGCACAGAGCCAGTGAGTGGCAGGGAATTCGTCCTCTGAACCCAGCTCATGCTCTGTATTCCGTGCTACATTTCTACAACCGCCTGGGCGCAGTGCTGAGTACACGCTGTCCGAGCAGGGACCAATCCTCCCTCAGCTCAGAGACGTGGTCTCTGACAGGGCCATGTGCAAAGGCAAGCAGATTTGCAGTTGCTTAGACTGAGCTTAGGACACCCGCTCTGCCCCAGAAATGTGACTCAGGTTGGGCAAGTTACCAGACCTCCCTGAGGATGTTTCCTTGTGTGTAAAATTGGTGGCATCCATCCTTCACATGGTCAGGAGGAATCAGAGAGGTGCTTGGTGCACTTTGCTGCCCTTCCTCCCGACTGTCCTTCTGTCTTCCTCTGCTGTCTGTCCCTCCCTCTGCCTCGGGAGTGCACGTGGGTCTGGCTTCCCTGCTCAGTCCCAGGAAGTAGCCTGTGTGTCAAGGGTTGGTTTAGTATGTGTAGATTGCCTGGGTGAGCGGGTGTCTGTCGTGGTAACCACAGCACGTTCTTCCTGAAAGCCTGTCTGTGGTGCTCTGTCCCAGGACACAGGCTGAACATCACAGCGGAGAACGACTGCCGGCGCCTGCACTGCTCCCTCCGGGACCTGAGCTCCCTGCTGCAGGCTGTGGGCCGCCTGGCCGAGTACTTCACCGGAGACATGTTTGCTGCACGCTTCAGCGATGCCCTCACGGTCGTGGAGAGGTAGGCTGGCAGCGACATCATGGAGCCATTCCCTTTCCCGAGCTCAGTTGTACCAGCTTCTGCTCCGGTGCTGGGTCAGTCACAGCTCACATGTGTAAGCAGAATGTGGAGCGATTACTGGTCCTCTCGGAACTTCAGTTCCTTATGTGTAAAATGGAGTGGACAGTATCTTTAGGTTTATTCACTATAGTTTTAAAATATATATTAGTCACCTCAACTTCATAGTGAGATGATTGATCATAGAGCCTGAATCGTTATTTTATAGGTCCTTACACATATATCTTTCTAACCAATTAGGTTTGTAAGCTCAGTACTAAGATACTTAGCTATCTTGTCTTCAATTTAAAATAAAGTGTAAGGAAGGCTCCTTGTTATGATCTCAATAGCCAGTGTGATTAGCAGTGTTTTACCTTAGAGGTTACATAAACAAACTTACTAATAAAACTGCTACACAGCCCTGGTCAGTGTGGCTTGGTTGGAGCACCGTCCCATACACCAAAGGTGGCAGGTTCTGTTCCCACGTTGTAGGCACTGTCCCCAGTTGGGGTGTGCGCAGGAGGCAACTAATCGATGTTTCTCTCTTTCCCTCTTCCTTTCTCTCTCTAAAAATCAATAACAAAATTTTTTTAAACACTGCCAAACAGACACATCTAAAAGTCAATTTTTAGTGATGAACATCATTAAAGAATGCTGTGTAATGTAAAAACAGGATGCAAAGTCCAATACTATATGATTTTACTTATATGAGGTATGTAGAGTAGTAAAATTTATAGAGACAAAAAAAAAAAAAAAGATGGTTGCCAGGGGCTAGGGAAGGGGTATGGAAAGTTATTTAATGGGTACAAATTTTAGTTTGAAAAGATGAAGACAAGGTTCTGGAGATAGACAGTGGCGGTGGCTGCACAGTGTGAATATACGTAATGCCAGTGAACTGCACCTGCTGTGTGAGTGCACGACATGGAGAGAAAGCATTGACACTAGTCCACGCTGGTGCATTGCTTCGGGAGGTGCCCTTCTGATTTCCAGTCATCGCCTGCCCCCCCTCCCAGGACCAGATTGGGAGCCCTCGGCTCTTTCACTCTCACTTTCTTGACCGACTGGCAGTGCCCCTTTCTGTCTGCTCCCCAGCCCTGCATAATTTGTGGCTCAAGCTTGTGGCTTTCTAATAAAGTCCTGTTTTTTCTCTGCATCCGAGAGGAGCATTTTTCAGAGTATGGTCCACGTGCACGAGAGCCTCGGTGTTTCCAGACCCTCCTACAGCTGCATAGTTGGTCTGTGGGGTGGCACCGGGGAGCTGGCATGTGTAACAAGTTCCCAGTTGCTCCTTGTGTCAGTGAAGTTGGGGAACCCCTGCACCACTGGATTGAGGAAGAAGAGCACATGCTGTCCTCCCTGACATCCAGCTCAGTTTGCTGACAGCAGGCACACAGGGAACTCAGCCAGGTCTCTAGTTTTCCCCTCGACTCAAAGGAGTCTGTCTCTAATGACAGAGGCATTTCTGCTTCTGAGCTGGCTATTAGTTACTGTAGTTCATGCTCATTTTATGCAGTGAGCCCTTGGGCAGCAGTGGGTTCAGCAGTTTGCTCCTGAAATAACTGTGATTGAAGTTAAAAATACCTCAGCGTAGTTCTAGAAACTTGTTCCCCATCCCAGAATTTTATCATGAATATTTTCACATATTCGTAAACATTGAGTAGTTATACAGGGAAGACCCATATACTCATCATTTAAATAGTGCTATATTTTCTTTATCATATATCTATCCACCTGAAACACTTTTTAAAAATGTATTATTTTTATTGATTTCAGAGAGGAAAGGAGAGTAAGAGAAACATCAGAGATGAGAGAGAATCATTGGTTTGCTGCCTCCTGCATGCCCCCACTGAGGATTGAGCCCTCAACTCAGGCATGTGCCCCTGGTATCGAACCCTTCAGTCCACAGGCCAACGCTCTATTCACTGAGCCAGACCAGCTAGGGCAAACATTTACATTAAAAAAAAATTTTTTTTTGTGGTAAAATATACATAACAAAGATTTCCATTGTAACCATTTTTATTGTATATGTGAGAGTATATTCTCTGTGTTGGACATCTATATTATTTTCAGAATTTTTTGATACTATATGTAATGTTTTAGTTAGTATCTTTGTATATAAATCTGCACATCTCAGATTATATCTTTGGGATAAGATTGAAGGTCTGGTCTCTATTCTTAGACCTTTGTTGGTACCTGTCTATCTGTGTTTTTTAAGTCCATAGCTGAATTTTTTTCTTACTTGCTGCTTTGCCAACAGGTTGGTCAAAGTCACTCTGTATGGATCTCAGATAAAACTGTACAACATTGAAACTGCTGTGCCATCGGTATTGAAACCTGATCTCATTGATGTGTAAGTACAGAGTTAGATGTTTATATTCCCAGGAAATGTCCTCCAGCCCCACATCATTTTTAGATAAAAAGAAACAGTAGTGGCTGCCATGAAGAGGAGTGAAACTCCCACTTCCAAACCTAGGAGAGGGACAGGTGGTTTGATTGTATACATCGGGGCACGCGTGGCTGGAATGAGAGGACTTCATCAGGCAGATGAGAGCTGGGATGGAGTCTAGGAATATGCATGTCAGGAAGAGAGAACAGCACAAGCCAACGCAGTGTTGGGGAGTCACACAGGCTGGAGGTGGTGAGCAGCTTATGTGGTGGGAGATGAGGCTGATAGCTCTGTTGGGACTAACGTGGACACCCCTTGAATGCCATTAATCTCCTGTGGACAGTAGCTGAAACCAGTGTACGGAAGAGTTCCTTGGGGAACGCGTTCCTTCAGAGACTGATGGCAGAAGGCGGCATAGGCTCGGGTATCTGCATGTTACAAAAGAATTTCGGTGATTTTGAAACAGGACAACATGGACCAGACTATGAGAAACTTATAGAGTCTATAATATAGACGGTGGGAAGCCATGAGGAATGTGGCACATAGAAGTGATAGAGCAATGATTTTCAAACTTTTTCATCTCATGGCACATATAAACATTACTAAAATTACTAAAATTTTGCCGATCTGACAAAAAAATAAGTATAATTTTGATTCACCCCAAATGGTTGTTACATTTTTTTTATTTGACAACCTAAGGGAAAGGTCAGGGCCCCTGACTAAAATAGTCAGGTGTTGCATGTTTTAGAAATCCTTTTGGCATATTGGTTGAAAATCACTGGGATAGAGGAATGGGGACAAGAGATGGGCCATATCCCAGAGATCACACTGCCCTGAGGCTTGTTCTAGACTGGAGCACAGACTAGCTAAAAGGATTTTCGCCAGCCGAACTTGATAATTTGATCATCAAGAAAGAGTAAGATTGGTTTGATTCTGGCCCACATGCCTGGGTTGTGGGCTCGATCTCCAGTGAGGGACTTGCAGGAGGCAGCTGATCAATGATTCTCTCTCATCATGGATGTTTCATATATCTCTCTCCCTCTTCCTTCCTCTCTGAAATCGTAAAAATATATTTTAAATAAATAAATAAATATGGGGAGAGAAAACTCTTTTTTTACAGAAGAATGCCAGCTAATGAACAGGAAAAGAAAGATAGAATTAGAAAAACCAGAATTAGAGTTGTACCTAGCCAGAGAAAGCATAGGATCTGATGGTGAATCTTAGGGTAAGCTTCATTACAAAGCTCTAAATATATAGTAGTTGTCTGCACCCTGGTCTGTAGCTATGGATGTTACATTTTTTATTAGTTCCCAGAGTCTCAGCACATTATCACTCTAGTTCTTTGGTTCTGTTTTTTTTTATTTTCACTAGGAGCCCAGTGCACAAATTTGTAAACCTGGAAAGAAATTGTGGGCTCTGAGGCTGTGGTGAGCACAGGGGCGGGTCTTGGCCCATCCTTCCTGCCCCCACTCAACCCTTCCCCCAGCAGCCCATTTCCGCTGCTGCTCCCATGCACCGACTCTACGGGCTCTGTTTGCACCCGTTGACTGCACGAAGTGATTGGGGCCAGTGCCAGCAGCGGGTGCGAGTGGCTGCTGCTATCCCGATTGCCCCTCAGGAGTAAGGGGAGGTGGAGAAGCCCTCAGGTGTGATCGGGGCTGGCAGCTGCTGCTCACACCCACTGATGGTGCCAGCAGTAGATACAAGCAGGGCTAGTACCGGACAGGACCACAGCACACTGGAGCAAAGAATCTTCAGTAACCACTAGAGGCTCACCCCAATGATAGCAACCAATGCCCCACCTTGGTCTGGCGCCCCCGCTGACCTGCTCCACCATCCTGCTCCGGCCGACGCCCACCATCTTCTACGCTCTGCTGCCTGCTGCTGATGTCCACCATGTTCTCCATGTACTCCCTGTATAGGATTCCCTCAGGATTGCTCACGTGTCACAGAAAGATTAAATAAGATCTGATAGGCATTCACTAACTGCCTTTTTAAAAAAAATATATATATATATATATTTTATTGATATTTTACAGAGAGGAGGAAGGGAGAGAGAGATAGAGAGCTAGAAACGTCGACGAGAGAGAAACATCGACCAGCTGCCTCTTGCACACCCCTACCGGGGATGTGCCCGCAACCAATGTACATGCCCTTGACCGGAATCGAACCTGGGACCTTTCAGTCCGCAGACCGACGCTCTACCACTGAGCCAAACCAATTTCGGCACTAACTGCCTTTTGTATTCTGGGCATTGATGGCAATATTTAGGTGATGAGTTTTAATTTTTAGGTTTGATATCAGCAAGTATTATTGATTGCATGCTGTTAGACCCTGGAATAGTAAATACAGTGGATAGAGTTTTTACTTCCTATGAAAATACTTAATGCTAATATATTTGACTTTAACATGTAAAATCGCATCTTCTCTCCTTTTTGCAGGCATGCCCAGTCCCTGGCCGCCCTGCAGGCGTACTCTCACTGGTTAGCACAGTATTGCAGTGAAGCGCATCGGCAGAACAGCCAGCAGTTTGTCACGCTCATCTCCACTACCATGGATGCAGTCACCCCTCTAATCAGCACCAAGGTCTGGAAAAAGCAAAGGCTACACCTGTTACCTACCTGAGTCTGTCTTGTCCATATACCCCTTTATTATTCTATCAAAATACTACATATTAATAGTAGTAGACTTGTCATTCTTACCACTGAAATATAACTATATGCCATTTCATGTTCCTTTTAGTTGTAAACCACTTAATGCAAATATAACTTTTATATTTTTAGTTCTCTAAGTCCCACATGAACACATGCTTATTGTGAAAAAGTAAAATATGGTTCAGAGTTAGAGACTTAAACGTGATGGTACTGTTTAATCTCTTCCTCCAAAACATTTCCCTTTCCCCAGTAAGCACTGTCCACAGTTGTGTATCCTTCAGACATGTTTCTTTTTACATTCACAAGTGAAAGTCTGTATTTAGCTGCAGATACAGCTGCTTTTGCTTAAAGGTATGCTTCGGAGACTTTTACATGTATAAGTAGCTTCAGCTTGTCAAACTGCTCGTGTTTTGTAATGGGGATATATTATAATTTCCTTATTGATGGATATTATATCCTTGTAGGATGGATTTCTGCAAGTGGAATTGCTGGGTTGAAGGTTATATCCATGTAAACTTTGATAGGTTCTATTAAGTTGTCCTCCAGCAAGTCCAGGTTGTATTATTGAGTGTATACATGCCTTTTTTTTTTTTCCTAAATAGTTATAGTCATATATAGCATTTTGTACCACTATTAACAGGATAATGTATTATTTTCCATAAATTTCTATTGTGTTTATAATTGTAATTTGTAAATAATACTCCATACATAATTTAGCCATTGCTGGACTTTTATAGCTGCCTTTTTTTAAAATTTTATTTATTTATTTTTAAAAATTATAGTTTTATTGATTTCAGAGAGGAAGGGAGAGGGGAGAGAGAGATAGAGAAATATCAGTGATGAAAGAGAATCATTGATGGGCTGCCTCCTGCATGCCCCCTACTGGGGATCGAGCCTGTAACCCTGGCATGTGCCCTTGACCAGAACAGAACCTAGGGCCCTTCCGTCTGCAGGCTGACACTATCCACTGAGCCAAACCAGCTCCAACTGACAGCTGCCATTTGAAAAAAGCCATTACAGATACTTCTGAAAAGTGTGTATTTATGACTAACTTTTTTTAAGGTAATTTCCTTAGAATAAGTGGGATTATAGTGTTAAAGGTTTTGTGCTTCTAGGAAATTGTATTAATACTAGAAGCCCAGTGCACGAAAATTCATGCACTCAGGAGGGTCCCTCAGCCCCTTTCTAATTCAATCTCAGGGGATACAGTGCGGGAGTCTCGGGGGATGTCCACCTGCCAGGTTAGGCCCGCTTCCCAGGGGATCAGGCCTAAGCTGGCAGTCAGACATCTCTCTGGCAGTTCGGGGTGCTCGGAGGATGTCCGACTAACGCTTAGGCCCGGGCCTAAGCCTGCCTAAGTTGTTAGTCAGTCATCCTTAGCACTGCTGTGAAGGCGGGAGAGATTCCTGCCACCGCTGCTGCACTGGCCAGCCATGAGCCAGCTGAGCATCTGGTGGGCAGTGCAAGAGTCATAGTGACTGGTCATTCTGCTGTTAGGGTCAGTTTGCATATTATCTTTATATAGGATTTCTTTCCTAGACATTCTATGGGCCCTTGGCTTCTTTTTGTGCTCTTTTCACCCTAGTTTTATCAACATTCGGTCTTTTTGTCTACAAAAAGTTTTCCCTTTTGTTAATTTGAACAGTACCATTATGGTACTTGAATCATGTTTTTTATTAGCATGTGAGGTAAGGAAGTAGGAGAGCCTGGCATGATAGATGATGGAGAGCAAAGGTCGGGGCGAAGATAGGTCTTGGCTTGGTTGGAACAAGAGCAGTGAGTTGAATAGACTGCAGTTGTTTGAATGAAATGCTAAGGTGTTTGCCTTGAGATTTAAGAGCTGATAGTGAAGAAATGGTTCCCTGAGTTCAAAGATGCCAGTGACTATGAATAGGAGGAACTGGAGATGGTGATCCTAGCTGGAAGGAGGAGCTGTGGTCATGGAAAAGAGTCATTTTAAAAAATGTTATTGTAATTTCTTTTTAAAAAAAAATATATTTTTATTGATTTTCAGAGAGGAAGGAAGAGGGAAAGAGAGAGAGAAACATCAATGATGAAAGAGAATCATTGATCAGCTTTCTCTTGCATGCACCCTACTGGTGATTGAGCCTGTAACCTGGACATATGCCCTTGAAGAATTGAACCTGGCCCCTTTAATCCTCAGACCAATGCTCTATCCACTGAGCAAAACCAGCCAGGGCAAGAAGATGCCTTTTTGATGGGCATCAGCATACGAAAACTCCTTTGAGATAGAGCCTGTGTGATACAGTTTGGTAGAGAACTAATTAGAACTGAATTTAGCTTGTGGCTGCGTCATCAAGGTTCTTC